TCCTTCCTCTCCCTTTCCCTCTTCTGTCTCTCGGCCTCCCTCGCATCTCTCTCCTGTTCCCTGGCCCTCTCAAGGGCCATCTCCTGCCTGTCCCTCTCATCCCTCTCATCTCTCTCCCTCTCCTGCATGTCCCTCTCCCTCTCCTCCCTCTCGGCCTCCCTCGCAGCCCCGGGAGGAGTCGACGCCGCCGACAGTCGGGAGGAGGAGGATGTTGGCTTCGAATTGGGATCGGCCTAAGTGTAGACTTGTAAAGAAGAGAGCTTGGCTAATTTGTGAGGACTTGAAGGCTTGATGAGCACGAGCAGCAAGAGATCAGAGAAGTTTCTGTGAATTTTTTTTATATCCACTTCTTATATTTCTCATGATGGTTGTTTACATATATATAGAATCATAAGGATAAGATTACAACTTGAATCTACATCCACTAACTAGAAAACTATCCACTAACTAGTATTATATCCACTAATTAGAATTCTATCCACTAACTAGTATTCTATCCACTAACTTGGACTCCAACAAATTAAGTCTTCCTGATCGATTAACCGTCTCACATAGGAGGAGGAGGACGATGTGGGGCTGGTGGACTCCGTGATTGTTTGGGAGTTTGATCATTACTATGAGCTTGGTGGACGCTGCGCGCAACATTCCCGAAATTCCAACTCTTCCAAAACCTGAACTTCCACCACTTCCGGAATTACAAAAGCCTGACTTACCTCCACTATACCCGAGATTCCAACTCTTCCTAAGCCTGAGATTCCACCACTTCCTGAATTACCAAAGCCTGAGTTGCCACGCTTACCTGAACAGCCAAAGCCTTGAGTTCCCTTCTCTCGGCCAACAACTCCTATGATTCCATGTGTTATCAAAGTCCTCTATTTTCATCATTACTATGAGCTTGGAAGCAAATTATGAAGATTATAGGAGTACGAGTTGAAGCTTAAACAGATTACGGCTCTCTTGTTTACTATTGCTTTTATCTTTTTTTTTAATTATACCTTAGTTGTCATGTATGAGATATGATCGATGTCA